CACAATTATTTAACCTTCGAAAATTTTAAAAACATTTTAACAATATATAAAACGTTTGAAAAAAGTAAAACTTACTTTTCTTGGCCATTTCTTTGATATATTCTTTTAATATAATAGTACCAGAAAATAATAACATTAACGCGAGTTAAATCTATTTAAACGATCTATATATATATATATATATATACATAGATATATAATATAAACTTTAGAAAAATCAAATCATACAAAAAAGAAAAAATTAAATAAAAAAGTTTTAATTTAATAATTGTACAATAAGTTCCAAATGAAAAATATAAAGCATATATATGTAAATATATGTTATATATTATATGTATACATATGTATTTATTTTCGTAACCTTTGAATAGAAAGTTGTCTTTAAGTAATAACAACACGAATAGAACAAACAATATAAGAATCAACGTTTATTCATATTGTATATTAAATATATTAGACAATATATAGGGTTATGTGATAACAACATTATTTTTTTCAGAAAAATTTTTCTTTAATAAAAAATAATTTGGAGGGAAAATTTTTACTTTTTTTTTGAAAAAAAAAAGAAACTTTACATGTAGTGATTTGTTTTAATGTTATCATTTTAACAAAAAATAAATTAATTATTATTAATATTACTAATTTTTTAATTATACTTACCTTTTCTTGATCAATGTATTTATAAAATTTTCTACATAAAATTTTCCAATTATAAATATTGAAAAAATAAATTCTTCTTTACTTTGTATTAATTGCAATGATTTTCTTTTAATGTACAGGAACAACATATCAAAAACTAATGTCAGAATAAGGATTTCACAAAATTCAGTGTGAAAACGCGATTCATTGACTCTATCGAGCTAGATAACTCACGATGATGACGGGCCCGCGTAAAATATATTATCATTGCCTATAACGCCACCTACAAAAATTTAAGGAAATAAATTAAAATATCAAAATACAAAGGAAGGAAATCGTTGTATATACATTATGTATATGCTGGATTTTGTTCGTATTATATATGAAAAGAATGTGAAGATTTTTCCATTGTTCAAATCAGACTAAATATTATATTAATATAAAAAGTAAAACGTCTCTATAAAACAAAGTTTATATTATTTATTTAATACACATAAAATCTGAAATATTCTTTTCATCATTTACGTACAACAACGTTCGCTATAAATTACAATATATAAAATATATATCCTATATAACTAGGAAAGTAACAGTTGTATTGTAAAAACACCATAAATATGTATTAACTACATTTAAAAACACATTAAGAATACCACTAAAATAAACATCAAGAATCAGATATTTTACATCAATTAAAAGTATTATGATACAAAATTATTATCGAAATTCTAAAAGACACTAAATAATACTACCAACTCTTTCATCTTATTACAACTTCGTTTTACGAATATGAATACATAATATATATAATAAAATTGATTAGATAACACTCTTTTGCTTTTTTTTGTGGAACATTTCACGTTTTATTCTAAAAGCAAAAATATATAAAAACCAATATATAAATATTGGTTTCTTAATCAAATATATTATAAAATATTTTTTCGTGTAAATTCGGTAGGACTTAAAGAAACAGCATAATTAGACTTTGGTAAAGATTTCGAAGATACAATATATCCAGTTTTCGTTGCACATGTTATAAGATTTTTTGGTTTTGGCGGAAGCGGAGGAGGTTTCGATGATTTGTTTACTCCTACGGAGTTGACTTGAGTATCGAAAGAACCGAAACCAGTGGTTTGGGAACAAGATCCGTTCTCTACAACAGTCCGATCTCCATCCGTTAAAGTTGTATCTAATATGAACGAACTATCTGGAGACTTACTCTGCAACTCTTTTCCAGTAACCAATACATGGAATCGTTCATCGATATTTTCATTCTTTGATGAAGCCAACGTAGTTGTTGCCGTCATTGTTGTTGTCATCTTCATTGTTGTTTTTGTTGTTGTTGTTATTGCTGTTGTTGTTATTGATGTTGCCATTGTTGTATTTTGATCATGCTCGCTATAGTTTTGCCGTTCATGAATCGAACTATAAAACTTGGCGTTTGCTTCACAATTGGTAGATACTATCCTAGGTCTTCGAACTTTGTTGCGATCCGCCGGCTTACCATTTTCCTTGTTCTGATCAGTAATTTCATAGCTTTAAGGGTCGAAACGTATCGCATAATAAAAATTTTAAAAATGAAATATGTTTAAAAACGTTACTTCGATAACTGGCAATATGCTTCATCAAATAAGTTTGGTGCAATTAAGAAGATATGGATTACTATACCTTAGCACATGTAAATTTCATTTTGTTTACCTTTAAAAAATCTGGCAATTCAAAATTAATTTCCGTGCCTCTTTGATCTTCCAATCTAGATCTTTGTGCTCGTTTTAAACCTTCATATAAATCTATAAATATAATCATAATCAATTTCATATTACATAAATAAGAATGACATTTTGTATTTATATTTATATATAAATTCATATTTATTATATTCTTATGTTATTTTACTATGAACAATACGACTTATTCAAATATAATTTACCTTCGCCATCGAATTTTCCTGGTAATTGAAGTTTCACTCCGTTCCGCCATTTTGCTATTAAAGGAGGATGAGATTTAGTAGTTTCTTCAGGAACATAATCGTTTGTGTTACTTTTTTCATTTATATTACATTTAGACTTTCCTCCCTTTAACATAAATATATAATATATACAATATATATAAAAATCATTTTTCTTAAAAACAATATATAAACTCAATATTAGTGAAATAACAGATTTTTATACCTTCTTCTTTCCATGCATTGTAGAATCTCGAAGGAAAAATTTGCTCGGCAAAATAGATGAACCCTCAGACCGTTGATCATCAGACTATATTCCAAAAAATAAAATAATTCGTAAATATTATAAAAAGATAATTTCAAAATCAACTCTCAAATGAATTTTCTTATTTAAATATAGTAGATATAAATAATATAATACAATATAATATAAGCTTAAATTCCAATACAATCATTTCATTTAAATTATAGTACTATTAAATTTCATTATTCTTTTTATGTTCCTTAATATCTCAAATGAAGCACAATAACTTCTTCATTTGAATTCTTCAGATTTTTTTTTTTCTCAACAAATTCTAAATTTTAATTACTTCAAATTTCTTTTTCTATTTATAGAGAATTGCAATATAAACTCTAAAACTCATCCTTCATTGGAATTTAAACATGCATTATTAAAATTTAAATAAATGTATTAATTTTATTACCTTACACGAGCCATCGTTATAATGATATTTACTCGAACCTTTGCCCACCATAAGTTCTTCAAATACTCTATTTGTAATTTCATCTAAAGTGGATTGTGAATTTGACGCATCATATGTATACTTAACTGTGTTTAGCTCTTTTTGTGAATCTGCAATATTAATTGTTTCAACTCAACAATTATGCTCAATATTTTTTTGTCAATATCTTACCCGATATCTTATCTTGATCCTTTATATTTGTTAAAATCAGTCTTACGGGAGCATCAATAGCTTGTATATCCATACAAATACGGTGGTTTTCACTCCATACAGTAATCATATCTAAATTAAAACCATATTTATTTAGAAGCGGCCTCAATACATCTTTAAGAGTTCTTCCTTTATGTGCGATCACAGTTATTACTCGCCGAGAAGGTAAATCTACTTTTAATATTTTGGTTGGTACAACTTCTACTTCTTGACCAGCCAGTACTGATGAAGGATATTTTGCATCTATAATCTAAAAACATGAAAAATTTCTAACTAATTTTAAATATTAATAAACAAATTAGTAAACAAATATTTATATATTAAATTGTAAAATTTAATTTCATGCAGATATACATAAAATACGCATATTTTATATCTTAACAGATTCAACGTGAATATACCCATTTACAAAAGCTATACCAAAAAATGCATGCATAAAAATTCTTACACAATAATAATCTTCCACAATCCTTGCAGCAATTATACTGTGCACAAGAAAGAAGCAGTAAATAGTATATTTCATATCAATTAAATTATTTTGTTAGTTTTAAGTAATCTTAAAAGATGCGTTAAATAAATGCGAGAGATCACAAACCTCATCTGTAGCTAGGATTAGAACATCATAGTTAGAATATCGGAGAGCTCTTTTATCAAGGAGGCGTGTAACCACATCTTTAATACTCTCCATTTGGCTAGTTGGCACAACCGTAGTCGATCCATCGGGTAATATTACCCGACATAATCCGGTACATTTGGCACGAACTTCTTTAGTTTCATTTGATTGTCCTTCGTAGGACGATAAAGACTACAAGTTATACATACAACAACTTTGTAGTTTCAAAATTAAATATGCGTTTAATAACACTGATATTTTTTTTTAACAAACATCCTCGCATACTTAGTTGCAATACTAAGATCTACTACACACTTGCAATACAAATAAAACTAACACATACTATAATTACTTTTATATATACTTGCCTTTAATATCATTGTTTTACCAAATGATACATTATCTATATTTAATCACAATATGATTAAATGGAAATAAAAATACTTACATGTTTATGAAATGATTGCCTTAATGCCAAATCCCATGATGCAAGTGAAGATCTACTGCTAGATATAGAAATACTGTCGTCATTATTATTACCTTCTGCTTCTCTTTTCATAGTTGTGAAACTTTTATATATAGTTTCATTTCTATTAGGACCTTTATTATATTCAGATTCACCACGATCTTTTGATTTAGATCTAAGAATGCATTATAGAAAAATTGATAATGTTCTTTTCTGTTAATATTTATCAAATATCATTATTAATACCTGTTTTTTCTATTCCATGGAAGAATAGATTTTCTACATCGATCTTCTGCATCTGAATGACTCTTTTTTAATTTTACACTAGGAGAACTAGTAAGATTTAAATCACAATCTTCTACTCCAATTATAGAATTTCCTGTTTCTACACAATGACGATATAAATCAGATCTTAAAAATCTTGGGTAACTATCAAATTTCATCAAATTAAAAACCTGTTTTTGAGCCTGTAAATAAAATACAAATGATTTCTATTAGTATAAAGCAATAAATGTTAATAATAATAAGATTAATTACAAAATTAAAAAAAAAAAGAAAACATCATATATACCTGTAAAAAAAGATCAGCAGGCGATTCGCTAAGAAGTTCTTGTGTTATTTGTCCAGTTGCATGACTATCAACATTTACGGGTTCTGCTGCTGTAGTAGATAAGTGACGTTGGTAAATTTGATTAGCCAACTTACGTCTTGTAGAAACATCTTTAGTATCTTTGTACCTTTCACAAGCAGCCCAAAAATAGATATTTTCATGACTGAATTCCTTTTTCAAAAATTCCTAAATTATAAAAATAAAATTATTTAAAAAATTGTAATATGTCTTTATTTAATAAATATGAATAAATATTGTAACATATTTCAATCTTACCGCAAATGTTTGTAAACCTTTTGGATCTTCTAGCAATTTTTCAAAACCACTGGCCCATGCATGTATATTTTTGCAATCAGTATTTTTATTACATAATTCTGTACTACCGTGCTGCATCAAAGAAACATTAAAAAAGTTATATTTTATTGATAGCATCATTAAATAGGATTAAACGAATCATAGGGGAAATGATTGCATAATAATTTGATACAAATATCAGTTAGAAATAAATTAAAAAAAAAATCTTTAAATTTAAATAATTTTTAATATATGTTATTATATAATTTAATTTAATTTACTTATTAAATAAAGCTTTTCATTATACACGCATTCGCTCGCATCCGTAAGAGAATATATTAGAGCTACAAGTATAATAAGTAAAACTATATACACTATATATACAGAGCTGTATATGTAAATTTACTTATTAAAAAAATATAAATAAAAAAAGAAGAAAAAAAAATTCTTTCAATATTGTTACCGATTATCATTATATAAAGCAGAACATTATATTCATATAAATATTTTATGTATAAAAATTATACACGAGAAATTATATTAATATAGAAATGGAATATATATGTTCTCACGTACAATAATTTAATATTTTTTTATGTATCATTGCTTTATAAAATTTTTAACAATAAAATCTACAACAATAAAACGAAGAAATCTATTCAATATCATTTATTGATAAAAAATTTGAACAACTACACAATATATAACGATTGATAAAAATGAAGGAAATATTATTAAGGAAATATTATTATATTAAAAATAAAAAATTAAAGAAATAAATAATAAAAATAAAAAATTAAGGAAATATT